TTTGAATTTGATGCACGTCTCCTATACTGAGTCGATCCGACTTATTCTTATTATCTGAAATGTGAAAAAAAATACTTTCAAGTCTCCAGTTTCCTTCAAATTTATGTCTTTTCTAAACGTTCTTTGTTTACTTAATTCTTACGCTCTTTTTGTACGCCTTTTTCTATACGTCATTTTTGTATGTTCTTTTTCAATACGTCCTTTCCAATCGTGTGAAAACATAAAATAAGGATATAGACTTTCATACCTATATAAAGACAAGTATGAGTTGTGACTCAACGAAGAGTACTATGTATTCGAAAGCCTCAACATAGATGTGAAAAGGTCAATTGCAAGAGCAAATCATTAGTAATTTTGGAGTAATTATATCTAATTTTTAAGTTTGACATGCGTGGCGTTTCGCACACACAGAAGGGGCGTAAAAATGACGTTTACAAAGGGACATATGCATTTAAACGAACAGAACGAAGGGTATCTTAACTACAGTATACTTTGATTTGAGATTTTGCCGTATTTTGTAATTCTGTGAGAAAAAACTTTGATTTTGCTTTCAGAGGGTGTGAGTGTGGATATGGATATGGGTTGGGTGTCGATTATAGGTGATGATGTGAAGAAGAACACACACATCCACTGTCTTATGCAACTTATTGTGTTCTATCCGATCATGAAGAGAAAGGAAGAAAAAATTCTGTTGAAACTTTGATCTGCAAGTATTTTGCATATATTGGAAACAACTTACCATCGAAGGGTGTGAGTGTTGTTCTTCGCATCTTCACCTACAACCGACACCCACCCACATCCATATTCACACCCACACCCTTGTTTTGATCTTTGTCTTTATCTTCTCGATGGTCGTTTTAATCAACTTGATGCACTTGATATTGATTTGGTTAATCTCCGTCGTCCTCATGAAATTCAAAATCAAGTTAGTTTTACAAGAAAAACCTCTATGTTGTCAAATAATAAAACAACTTTTGTTTTATTTTTTGGGCGATTTACCAAATCTAAAGTGTTCTTCTTTGTCCTGTAATCTCGTAACATATGATTTCGATGAAACAATCTTACTAGTTCTCCATCGAATGTCAAATCTAGAACAGCTCAGTTTGTATATTGTGGTCTGTGTTGATAAAACATTTATTGATAGAGACAATTTAAAGAAAAACATTATTGATCCTATGCCACGATTAAATCAATTTACATTTTATGTTCGCTCATTCATGTTTATTTGTAATGAAATGAGTATGCCATCAACAAAAGATATTCAACACACATTCATTGACTTTCCAAATGATGAAATAGTTTCTTATGTTGATTATTTTCCAGAGTAAAAACAAAGTCAATATCATGTTTACTCATATCCGTTTCTAATGTCATATTACGACAATATTACAAATTATTTGCCAGGAGGATTATTGAAATATGTTCGTTTTGTGTCATTATTTGATGAACATGAATTTTTTCTTCGAATTTTTCAATCATTTCCATTTATGGAACAATTATCTTTGATTAATCATAAATCACAAACAATCTTATGAATCAAACAATAATAATCGAAATTTACCTGTTATTGAATATTCTTTTCTTAATGAACTTTATTTTATCGATGTCCATGATGATGATGTAGAACAATTTCTATTTGACACAAAAGCGTATTTGCAAAATAATGTTTTTCTTGGTATCGATTATGAATCTTTACAACGTGTAACACATAATGTCACAAGTGATGCTACATGAATTAATTATACCAAAATAGCTAAATTAAAATTATTCGCTCGAACAAAATGTTCGAATTCTTCTTCTGTAAAAGACTATTTTTCTAACGCATAAATACGTATACTATCGTTTAGTTTACATGTTCTTTTGCTCTCCAATTGCTTTTTGTGTAAAAAAAAACGAACATGTCAGTGTTTATAATTAGAATACAAAACTCTGCTACATCGAAAAATTGTTCGCTAGTGACTTCATAACGTGATTTGGCGTTGTTGAAAAAGCTATGCTCATGCATCGACATGAGCTATTGGCTATATGTTGTATCTTTTCTTTTCGTTATTAGTAAAAAGATCATGACACTAGATTCTCGTGACTGTGATGTTCTCATTTGAACGGCTTCAGGTTCATTCAAAAAAATACAAAGTCTTTGCTAGCTTTTCCTTCACATATTTAACAAGTCTCTAAAGTGACGATTCTAGAATGAGAAAGATTAACATTCTTTCGACAATAGTGGCAAACTTGTTGAACTCTGTGTCAGAGTTGTGCTCGATACAGATGGTATCTTGTTTTTGTTCCAACAATTCAAGAGTCGCTCGAACTTTCATACCGGCTCCAGATGTAATTTTCATTATCTTGACAGCAGATAACTAGACCATGTCACATCAGTCTTCTCTATAGTTTCCAGTCGACTATTTGTAAAAAAAACATCACTTTCACCGTATATTAGAAATGGATGGATCAGATTCTTTTGATATATGTTCGTCAGTGCATGTATCGCCTGATTCAATAGCACTAATATCAAAATCGCCATCCAAATGCGACACTTGCTTATTAATGATATCGTCATTGGTATCATGTGTATCTGACAATAAAATATCTTGAATTTATTTTAAATTTAACTTATTAGTCGTATCTAAACTATCAAACTATCGGTATTAATGAATAAGATACAAACGATTCCCATAAAACTATTCAAAAAAGCAATAGGAGACTAGATATCAGTTTTAACAGAACGAAAAATCGTTTCTATAATATCGTAGCTTGCTGGGGTCCATGTGAACTCATAGACTTATTCTTTTACTTCAAGAGTTATGTATGATTTAAGTTACAGATATGATGCACTAACATAAAACTAGAGATTAGATAAGGCGAACAGTGCGAAACAGAGACCGAAACGAGTCAAAAAAATTCAAATCGACTCGACTCGACTCGACTGAATCATTCACTCGCCTCGGCTCGACTCGGCATGCATCTAAAAATCATCTGACTCGGCTCGACTCGACTCGACCCGAGCCGAGTCGAGTCGAGCCGCCGAGTATCGATCTAAAATCGAATGTTCAGAAGTACATCCTTAATACCAAGCATGAGAAGAAATTTAGACACACACTTTATTCGTATCTTAATATTGAAAAACCTACATCAAATCGTATGGAAAGGAAACGGTCAGCTTCAGAAAATTGCCACAATTTCTTGGAAGCAGTATTTGAGACTTGGAGACCTCAGATTTTTCTTCTGTATCTTTCCATTAAAATTCTGTCTTTGTCGCTCAAAGACGGTTGAAAGTCATCGAGAAAATCCTTCGCTCTCTCCACTTGATATATTGTTTCTGTTGTCTATCGATTTCTGGATGTACTCTGTCAGAAACAGAAATTTTGTACGAGTTTTCTACTCGGTTTCAGAGTTTGGAATTATCGTTTTGATTGATTCTGAATTATTTTCTTGCGCGACTTCGGCAATATTGCAGGTCGATTTCTTCTTACCATAAATTCTCCAAGACTATTCGAAACGGTCCTATTGGATGGAATGGATAACATATTTCATCGATTCCAATATATTAAATATGATCAAATATTTGATCACTTAAACATCCACTCTGTTTTGATCATCTTTTTGCAATAAATAATGAAATAATGCCATACACTACTAAATCTATTGCACATCGTATACCAATCAATTACAAAGGCTGGTGATCAATCAAGTCATTGCATTCTAATTAATCTTTGAACAGTCAACAATGCATTGAATACAATGAAAGCTAGTGAATGTCATTCATTGTAGTTTATTTAGCGTCGTCAGTTCATCGCTGTCTAGTCATTTTAGTGCTTTGTTCAACCTATTCATTGAAATGAATTGACATCGTCTCATCTCGGTTCGTCTAACGATGATGATGACTAATACTGAAAAACAAACGATAAAATTATGAAGAAATGTTTAAAAAGTCGAATTCATCGAGTCAAATTCGACTCGGCTCGACTCGACAGTAGGTCTAACTGGACTCGACTCGACTCGACACATTTCTCAAACTTCGTACTCGGGCTCGACTCGACTCGGCGTGAACCGAGTCGAGTCGAGTCGATTTGCCGAGTACTCGACTCGTTTTCGGTCTCTGGTGCGAAACAACAAATATGCATTAAGTAATACATGAAAAACTGCAAAGTGGGTCCGCTCGGACTCTAGTATGGCCACGAAGAGTTAAGAGCTTATTATTCGAATTTACAGCAGCACATAGTCATTTTTTCTTCAAGAAGAAATAAAATATCTATTTTTTTAGGTGTCTTTCTCTTCTCCATATTGTCTTAGATTTCATATCAAATGAAAAAGAAAGATAATCGTGTCAAGATCGTTTATTGAAACATACAAAAAACAATAGAAAAGAAAATTCATTTCACAATTCAATATAAATTTTAAAAAAATAAGTACATATGATTAATGAGCTCTTTTTCATATGATTTGAAATTCTCTTAAAACATTAATGTATCGTCTTGAAGAAAGAACTTTATTCAAAGACATGCGACTTAGTTAGAAAATTATTGTAAGATTTTGTACACTAGTAGCTAATATTTACTTTTATCTTTTCAGACATACCAAAACACGCATGATGTCTACATCCACACTTTCTCATTAGACGCATTGTTATTGAATAAAATCTATCAAGAAACGTGATTTCTTTTTTAAATGTTATTAAGCTTCTATGTACTTTTTACATATTTGAATATTCATATTAATTATGTATTTTGACAAGTATGGGAGAGAAAAGAATTTAATTATTCTTTGCTTTTTTATTTCAAGTGGAATATGCAGTATGAATAAGATCATAATAAAAATATGCATCAATTGATTATTCCAAAGTTCGAGCAAATATGTATAAAAGTACAAAAATAATCAGCTTGTGCATTTTTATCGTATTCTTTTTACAAGAAACAATACATATATTAATTCAATAAGATTATTCAAAAAATTCTAAAAAAGTATATTATTGTAATTTATCAAGAGCAGAAGAAAATATAAAGATGAACTCGAGTTTTCTTCAACAATATTGGACTCGTCAAGAACATCAACAACCATTACCATTACACTCTTTGTCAATTTCTTCAAATGTTGCTACTATTGATAAAGAATTTAATCAAATAACAAATCCATCTGATGCTTTTTCATCAGAGTTTTCATTGGAAACTAATTCTCAATCATATTCAAACAATTTATTGTCGTCATCAACAAATGTAACGATAAAAGAATTTTGTGCAATAGAAAAAGAAGATGAAGAAAAATATTCATTTAGAAGGTTAGAATGTGAATTTTGAAAATTGTATGTTTTTTTTTTCAAGTTAGTAAGAACAATAATCATATCAAATACTGACTGTGCACAATGATATTGATAGGATAATGATAATAAAAAAAATGATTAGAATGTTTTGTACTATGTATTTTATTTATTGTAAAGATCATCACTTTTCGTACTTTCTTTTAGTCTGATACGCTGTATTTACTAAATATCTATGTACATGTAAATAGAAATACGAACTATTTGAAGTTCTTTGTCTATTCCTTGTGTAATTACTGTTTATTGGGCTAATTCGCTTACTTTTGGCTACTAAAAAAAATTCAGGCTTTGTTGTCTTATATATTAGTTATTGAAATACATTTGATTGTTTTCACAATTACTCCAAATATACCGATCTTAAACAAAATAGTCATTTCAATTTTATATTCAATTCGAAAACATATAACTGTTCAATATCTTTACTCTGGTTATCTTTGAAACATATTTTCAGTCAAACAGCAGAGTTTTCTAAATAAAAGAAAATGAAAATTGTTTCATTTTATTCAACAAAACAAGCAATAATCTGGATGTCAGTAATATTTTGTTTGATTTTCTTTTTTCTATTAAGACGTCTGGCAGCTTGTCTATGTTCCAGTAATTATAAGACATGTTCAGTTGCTTTTATTATCGGAGCTTTAATGGGTGCCATTGCTTTCTCCATTATACTTACTATTTATTTAAGCGATGATTGTAAGTTAATTAATCATCAATAAGTTTAATACATTCGGTTTTTTTTTTCGATCATAAAAGCATATTCAACAACAACAAGTAGGTGATACAAACAAAAAAATCTCGAAAACATTATTTGTATTTTCTATGTTTTAAACATACTTTCTTTCTTTTTTTGAACTGTAATATCTATTACGTTCTTTAGCATCAACAAGTAGCATCGAAACATCAAGTAATATTCTCTTTTGAAGATAAAAGATATTCATTTATTTTCTTTAATATACAGGTATAACTACAACTACAACCACTTCAGAAACAACAACTCCCAAAAGTAAGTAGAATCACATTTCATTTACACTTGATTTACTTTTTTCTTAAAGCATAAAACATAGTATAAGTCCATCTAAAAATGTTTGCGATATGTTAGAAGAATAGTTAGAATGAGACCCGTGATACAAATTATTAAAAATTCTGTCTAGAAATTTGGACAAATTCAACAATCATTAAAAAGCAGTTTGAATACTTGTTTAATCTCGTGTCTGGAAATATCTACACAACTTTTGGACGGTAGATTATTTATATACAAGTACTACTCAGTCGTATTTATCCTATGTTCTTCAGTATGCAGTGGTTACTATACTCATAGAAATATTTTCTCAAAAAATACCTCTTTCCTCATCATTAAAAGATGTTTATGTTATTAGAAATTGTATAGTTTAGAAGTTCGTTCTTTTTTTCTCAGAAGAATGACAATAATATATTCGTCATCAATCAGTATAAATAATTATTCAATAGATTTCTTTTTACAATAAAAAAAAAACAATGAAAAAAGAATTAGTAATATATGTTTTTTTTAGAAATTCTATGATGTTTTTTTGAACTGTGTATAGAGTGATTTCTTGTTTTAAATTCTATTAAAAATAGATCCTTCTTATTATATAACCTATAGTGTGTATAAATGGTAATACAGCTATCACATTTGATGATCTAACATCTGGAGCAATTCCTAATGGTTATAATAATATAAACTGGACAAATGCAAACGCTTACACCACAGCGACAAATACAAGCGGATATTACACGGGTATTGTAAGCGGAAATAAAACGTCATACAATCCTTTTGGTAATCCAATGTTTATGAAAAGTGCCAACAGTAGTCTTTTTACTTTGTATTCTGCTGCAGCTGCTGCAGCGTGGTGCAATAATTTACAATTAACAGTAGTTGGATATAATTCTAATATGATTATTGTAAATAATACTTTTACTCTTCAAATTTATACTTTGACATATTTAATATTTAATGGATATTCAGGATTAGATACTGTTCAGTTTTCAACATCAAATGGAACAAGTACTACGGGTGGAACCTGCAGCGGTAGACAGTTTGCAATGGATAATATTTGTTTAACCTTTACATGAACTTGAAGGACAAAAAAGTTCTTATTTTAATTAATCATTTCATTGACTTTTTTTTGTTCTTCGATAACTTCATTTATGTATAATAGTTTCATATTTAATGCGTTCTGTCTAAGCTCAACAGGTTTAATCAAAATTTTATTCTTACAATATTAGATAAATAATAATGATGAAGTTTAAAAATGTAGAGCTTTGCTTTTTACTATCAATCTATATAAAAGGAAAATTTCTTCGAACATTCTATTCGAAATTGAGATATTATCATCACTACTTTGGTTATGCTTCAAATATCTGTTCGTGGAGTTTTTTTTTATATATTTCTTGGTTAAACATGTAACAATAATGTTTTTTCGTGAAAATCTGCTTCGAGGGTCAAACCGGCTAGTTTTTATCGGTTTTTTTAAAATTAATTATTAAAGTATTGAAAGTAGTATATTTTGCTCATTTTTTGTTGATTTCCATAAATGTGCAACAATACATAAATATGACCTTGCAAATTTCCTACTGACAAAGTACTAGTCATAATCAAAAAACGCGCTTTAAATCTTGGACTCACAAGTGCTGATCATATGAAGAGAGTCTCGGATTATGCTGAATCAATCTATTATGAACACGAACAGTTAGCCAGTTATCAGAAATTGAATTCTATCTCAATGGTTAAGATATTATTACAATTATGAAAATATGTAGATATTAAACTAAGAATCAATTCCTACTGATTTCAAATAAGAGAATAGATCAAACTTATCGATTCTTGGAACGAAATCTTATCTTCATTAGAGACAGTCAGGCAAAACAAAGCATAGAGGTAATTCAAATCAGTTCTTGTGAATTACTAATCATATGACAAATTTTCAAAGAGTTCTTTCATCGTTCTTCGTCATAGTCTATAGAAAACATGACAGAATAAAATAGAAGTTTTACTATTAGAAACTTCATAAGTTGTAGGAGTTTTCACATTGTATATCTTTTTGAAGCTATAATAAAGTCAAAAAAAAAATATTATTGGATGTGAGTGATGATACTAATGAGGCATACCTTACCCGACAGTAACACCATCAAGTAGGTCGTTCAGAAGTTTCTCGTCGGAATGAACTTATTTCTTCAATCGATATTTGTGTCATTTTCTGATTCACACAAAAAAGAGATTCAAAACACTAGCCCACAATGCAAGCAGACGTATTGGATGAAGAGAAAATATTTTCAATTGATCAATCACTTTTTCATTGAAAGTTAGTGAATTGTAAGTCATCGATTGTGCTGATTTTCAATGTGACCAAACGAAATTCCATTAAATCTTCACGTACTAATTTTGTAAGTTAACAAACTTTTCGTCAAAAATTGTTTCTGTACTTTCCAAATAATAGAACATATTAAATCACCTATAAAGCAATAACTTGACCTCTTTGAAATTCTTCCATTTTAATCAGACTTAGCAAACTTCAATCTTGAGATATCCGTAGATTTGCCGTAAAAAAAATATAAGTTTATTATTCGAATTTATAGGAGCACATAGCAGTTTTCTTTTTTAAGAATAATAATCATTACAACTTTTATCGTCAATCATTTCAAGATTGTTTATTAAAATATACATAAAATAATAGAAAAGAAAATTCAAGATGAACTAGAAAAAACAAGTATATATATGATGAATGACTTATTTTTCATGTGATTTGAGATTCTCTTAGAATATGAGTATATTGTTTTGAAAAAAAAAAGGACTTTATTTAAAGAGATATGAATTAGTTAGAAAATTATGGTAAAATTATGTACACTAGTAGTTAATATTTACTTTTATCTTAAATTTTATTCCAACTATGTCGTATGTCATTCAGCTTCAGTTGTCATCTCAAGAAGCTTTCTTTTATTTTTATTAATTCACAGTTTCTCAACTTAAAAAAATCAGAAGATTCAGTAAGCTTAGTTTTAATTCATATAGGAGACACAATCAACATTCCAATTATGATGATAACTTGATATGTTCTATAATTTGAATAGATTCAAAACGATTTTAGTAAAAAGTTTGTTAATTTAGAAACAAACATCACATATTTAGAATTTATAATTATCTAGGCTTTGATTACAAAGCAATTTATCTATTGAAAATATTTCCTTAGTTAGTCTATTCATGACTATAGTATTGGAAATCTTATTTAAATATAACCGTGTTAGTAACATGTTTAGTTGTAAAATTTATCATTTTATTTAAATTTTTAATATTTATCTAAATATTCTTATGATTATTTTCTTTTTTGTTTTAATGACAATAGAACATATATATATATAATTCAGACTAAAGTGATATGTTGTGCATAAACATGATGATAATTTGATGAATTATCATCTTTAATATCATGTTCATCAATATTATATCGAACATGACCTAATTTTTTCCATGGATTTTCATTTGAAAGAACTAATGTTGATGAAGATTTTTGAATTGATGCTTGTCGTATATGATTAATATTTGATCTTTGTTGTAATGGTGAAAGAAGATTCATAGTATCACCATCACCATCATCATCATCAATATCTTTTGAAGAAGATAATAATCGTTGTTGTCGTCTTTCATTATTTTTATATGTATCATTAATAATTAAATTTTTACTATAAATATTATCGGTTTGTGTTATCTCATCATGAATATTTAAAGAACAATTATCTAATTTTGAAGTACAAAATGTTACTTCTGTTGTACAATCTATTGGTGTTGATTGTCGTTGATTATTATTAATAGATCGTGTTATAAATGAACCAAGATGATTATTTGTATTTGATTGTCGAAATGATATACGTCTAGCTGTTATTGATGCTTTAAATTTTGAAGGAATATTTTTGGACGGATTAAATAGAACAATATGTAATTTTGGTGCAAATAAACATATAAGTATAATAGTTGCTGATAAACTTAAACAAATAGCAAGTGTAACAAATTGAATCTACACAAAAAAAATGAAGAAAATTTTTGATGTTTTGTGTTTTTTTTCTTTTAAACTTACACGAAACCAATTGTCACTACTTCTTAAACCAAAAAAAATTGGTATAAAAGCTAACCATATAATACATATTGAATACATAGCAAAACCAATATATTTAGCTTCATTATAATTTTCTGGTATATGTCGTGTTTTAATTGCATAAAGTGTACATGAAATAACAAGTAACATATTATAAATTAATGAATAAGCTATATATTCATGATCAGTTTGACATACTAATATTAAACGTCGTTGATTATGTTTTATTTCAGATTTTAATTTAATAGATGGTGGTGAGAAAAATAACCATAAAAGAACTGTTATTAATTGTACACTAACAATACCAGTACATATACCTAATTGTGAACGTGGTGAAAGACATGATTGTGGTGTTAAACGTTGTTTATTATTAAATATACGTGCTAAACGATTTGTTTTAGTTAATAATGCAGCAAGACATATAGTTAAACTTAAACTAACACCAATACGTATAAATAAACATGTTAATACATATGGTTTAAAAACAAGTGGCCATGCACATAAATGACAAGAACATATACCAGATAAAAGAAAATAACTTAATTCACGTGATGATGCTTTTATAATTGGTGTTTGAGAAAAACGTATAAATATAATAATTGTATATATAGTCATTAGAAGACCTATTGATGAAAGTATTAAAGCTGGTAATGCAATAATATTTTTTATAGATAAATATTCTTCTTCAATAGGTATACATTTAGTAAAATTTAAATTTGGTAATTCTTGTTCGGAACATGGAATACAATATGTTTCATTAACAGCTATATGAAATATATCACATGCACGACATGTCCAACAACATTGTTGAGAATCTGTATTTGTACGTATTTCACCTGGACGACAAGATTCACTACAAAATGATCGTGGTGTTATTTGTGTTTCTGACCATGTTGAATATTGATAATTATATTTAGACCATTTTAATTTTTGAAGATCAATACGAATTCTATTTGAAAATATAAGATTGTTATATGATTAAAACTTTTGAAGTAAAAAAAAAAAAAACAAGTAACACAATTCTTTTCGGATATCACTGTTCTTTCTATTTTTCAATTTAATAATCAGATCATTTTGTTTAAAATTTACTTGTATATGTCTCGCTTTGGAAAAAATGATTTTTAGAATACATATTAAACTACTATTAGGTATTAATTCAAAATATTTTTCTTCTGAATAACATCAACAAAAATCTTGTGAAAGTCGAAAATATCAAATATATTAATTTTAGCATTAGTTCTGATGAGTAAAAGCTTATTGATGACTATTTTAAAAAAAAGGCAGATAATACATAATATTGTATATTACACATTTTTTAGACTTAGGCTTTTTTTTTGTTTCTATCTTTTCGAACATCGATATATCCTGTGAAGTGACTGTAGGCGAGCTTTCAATTATTAGGTATGTTATCTCCTTTTTTTTTTTCAATGGTAAAAATCGTATCGCTCTGTTTTGTTCCAATCCAAAAAAAAAGAATTATTCGAAAAACAAACATAGAAGTATTTTTATAAATCAGGATATTCTCTTTCGAGTGTCTAATGCATTGGGAAGTGTTCTTTTGAACAATTTCTGATTCATTGGAGCAAAATTTATATGATTCATTTGTATGAAAATGAGCACAAATTTAGCACTATATCAAACTCTATGACATATCAATATGTCTACTCAATTATGTTAACGGTGTTTGATTTTCAATCTGTATAATTCCATAGAATTAAAATTTCCTTAATTTACTTTTTTTAAAAATTTAATTACAAATTTTTATTATCAGATTATACACATCGATGAGTATTGATTAGTTTTGCAATTCAGTACACCTATCATCTATTTATTAACATATTATAATTTGATTCTTATATAAACATGCAATGTTACTATGCATTTCTAAACAGAAAGTAAGCTATGATGACTTCAATAATTTACAAAAGTGTTATTCGTAAGATTATATTTTAATTCATAGTACATATACGATTTTTTTTTCTTTGA